GGACCTTGTGGGGCAGGGGGACGCCGGCATCAAGTCGACCATGGGGGGCACCAAGAAGTCCTCTTGGCGTTAGAGGCTGTAGAATTTTTTTCGGTTCTCATGTTCTTTTCGCTCCCCTGAGGTTTTCTCTTTTTCCTTGAGTTGGGTTGTTTGTGCGGCGGGTATTGTTCCGATTCGCGCGAAACGTCAAATGACGGCGAGTTTCTCTTTCGTTTCCCGGTAGCACTTGCAGTACAGGAGGCAGCACGGCAGCAACTTCCGTCGTTTCTTTCTTGGTGCGCCACCGAAGCCCTTCGTCTTGCTTCTTGGTTGCGCTTCTCTTGGCGGCGATTTGGTTACCGAGAGGGGGCTCCGCAGACAGCACACATTAGGTACCTACATGCCAGACCGGCTTGACATGTAGGGTACGGAAGAGATCACCCACCTTTTGCGATGATCCGCGCGCGTTATGCGCCTCGAGGCGGGGGACGAGGACTCGAGTTTTTTGTTGTTTGTCCGAAGAAAGTTTTTTTTTCCATGACAGGTCGACTTTGGCCTCCTACAAAGGTTTTCTCTTGAAGGTTCAAAGCTTAGACCAAGGCCGTAAACCAATGCGCGCCAGGCGCAAGTTTCTGCGGTTTTTAGTCGCCCTCTTGGAATAATCAGTTGTGTCGCTGGACAAGGTGCGACAATGACGTTGGTCTTTGGCGAAAGAAAAACAAAGAGCCTCTGTGGTTGAGATTCATCCCGCGATTGATATGTTATGGTATTGGTACCAGCAACCTGCACACAGTATAAGCAGAATATGGCTTGAGCTCTCGATGGTTTTCGTGGAGTCCGACGACCAACACCACTTGAGCCCCATGCTAAGTGGTTTTCCACCTACTCCAGGACAAGGATCGGACCCGTCAACATACGGTGTTGGGACCAAAGAAGATGCTCAGCTTAATTGGAAGCACTTGAGGCCGGCAAACCACCAGAGGGCTTGGATGTGTCCACATTGCTCCTTCTTTCCGCGCTGCTCCGTCTCTTCTGTAGAGCGCTGTCAAGACTCTGCGTGAGAACACAAGACTCGGACAGATTTTGTTGAGACCAAATTGTTCTCGCTGGTCTGAAGATATTTCCTGCATCAACGAGCGTCCGGGCCGAGTGGGACACTACAACGAATTTTGTATCCGTCAGTTCGAAACCATGGGGAACGCCTGCCAGGCTCATCGTTACTTTGCATACATGTCACGGGAGAGGTCGCACAGGCTCTTCGCCTAGAGAGTACGTCGCTCGTCCCTCTGGGCAAATACGAGAACCACGAAAACAATCTACGGAGAATGGGGACGCGGACGGTTATGCGGGATGGTTTTCCCCAGCTCACGTGCCCAGCTTCCTTGGGAGGGTGCTTGGCCCTCTCTGCTTCGGGACACACTCACATTTTTTCGTCGACTCTTGTTGATGCTAGTCAGCACCTAGTTCATGGGCGGCACATTGGAGGGATTATCCTATCCAACTGACGATCGAAGGATTTCCGCACGTTTGACTTCAAGCTGGGGCCGCGCGCACGCAATGTCACGTCTCGCTTGCTTAAGGTTACCGGGACTAAGCTCAACGGCTGGGGCTTGTCGGCACCACAGTAGGACCCTGCGCCCCCTGTTTCTTGGGGCATTGAGACACCACCGGCGTACGCAAGCGCATGGACCTCACCGCTTGACCTAAAAATGTAAAGGCAGATGCTCGAGGGCCGGTACACTCCGTGTCGCGCACCTACTTGCTGTTTGGGGTTTTGCCTGTGCTTGGTTTTCGGAGTTATGACTCTCCGGACGTCCCTGTCGAACTTCTGACGTACGCGAAGTGAGATCGGTGGTGTGTGTGTCGGGTGTCGAGTTCGTGGTGGATGCATCTTTGCATGGGACGGAGGAAAGCGCCATGTACCTTTTGCCTGATCGCGTCTGAAAAGAGAGACAAGTTTCCTCTGGATTCACCGGGCAAACTACGGAAAGCAAAGCAGCACTTTTATATCACACAAAGGCGTGCGTCCATGCGCGAACACAACTCGCACGACCACGACAACTATGACATGTCACCGGGACGAAAAAAAAGAAGGGACAAACAACACGAAACAAACAACCAAAACCCAAGGTACAACTCACGAAAGCCAGAACACGCACGCAGAAAACAAAGTCCACACGATCATTCGTCGAAGGCTGAAAACCCCAACACTACTACGCACACAGACAGCAGTAGGCAAAGCTCTCCCTCCCCCCCCCCCCCCCCGGTCAGCGCCGCCGGGGGCGTACAGGCGTGAGGGGGGGGGGGTTAGGGGCCCCCCCCCCCCCCCCGGGA